TTTTTTTTTTTTTGGTACCGGGGATCGAACTTGGGTCCTTGCACTGGCACAACAGGGGGTGAAACCACTGAACTAAATCCCTGGCCCAAGAAGAGATTTTTGCCAGTATGGTGTGGTGTGGTGTGGTGCATCCTCCTAGCTAAACAGGAGGATCAAGAGATGGAGACCAGCCTGAGGCTGAGGCAAGAGTTTGAAGCCAGCCTGGGCTACCTAGTGAGTTCAAGGCCAGCCTGAACTACATAGTGAGATCCTATTTCCAAAAAATAACAACAAAAAAAGAGTAGGAGACTGGCCTGGGCAATTCAGTGAGACCCTGACTCAAAGTAAATTTTTAAAAATGGGCTGGGGAATGTAGCTTGGTGGTAGGATGGATACATGCAGAGTGCAGTGCTTAGCATGCCTGAGGCCCTGGGTCCAAGCCCTAGTACTACAAAAATGAGTCTTGACTTAACTGCCTTGGTGGTGGAATGAGCTCACTTGGCAGCATGGAAAAGTGCTTCTGTTCAGTAGGTTGGCTTAGAGCAAGCTTTTGGAGGGGAGGGCTGTCTCAGTGGCAGAGCACTTGCCCTGTATGCAGGAAGCCCTGGATTCCATCCTCAATGCCATGAAAAACTCTTTAAGTCCCATTAATAATTCCTTCACCAATCTCCCTCATATTCTGCCTTTATTTAGTCTCCTGCTGGGAAAATGTTAAATAATGGAACATAGAGTAGAAACATACATGTAGATTCTCAAAATTATGTTTTAGCTCAACTCTTTTTGGATGCTTCAATACCTGGACAGTTAAGACTAATCATCTGGACACAGGGATCATTTTTTTGTTTTCTTTGTTTTTTGTTTTGTTTTTGAGACAGTCTTCACTAGGTATCCCTGACTGGCCTTGAACTCACAGCAGTGCTCCTGCTTTAGCTTCCCAAATGCTGGGATTACAGGCATGTGCCTCCACACCCAGCATTTTTTTGTTTTGGACCGGGGATTGAACTTGGGTCCTTGCGCTTGCGAAGCAGGCGGTGAAACCACTGAGCTAAATCCCTGGCCCAGCATTCTTTTTTTTAATGAAACTTTTTCTGTGGCTTTGAGATTGTATGCCTCTTTTAAGACTATAATAGGGTCAGGGATTTAGCTCAGTGGTTTCGCTGCCTGCTGAGCAAGCACAAGGACCCAAGTTCGATCCCTGTTACCAATAAAAAAAAGACTATGATAGCCTTTTTTTTTTGTTATTACCAAAGCAATACTTATTGAAGGCATAGAAATTCAGGCGATGGAAATACACAGAAAGACATAATATTGTCTTAAATAGCAACGTGTGTTTCTTAGTAAGTATAAACAAAGACAACATTGTATAAAAAGTTAAATGTATAACTTGCTTTCTTCTGTGTGTATGTGAGCGTGAGTGTGGGTGTGGGTGCTGGGTGCTGGGTTTGAACCCAGGACCACCCTATAATTGAGCTACATCCTCAGCTCAGCCTTTTTTCTATCTGGGACATGTTCATGCTCAGTTGATCAGGCTGACCTGGACCTTGCAATCCTCCTTCCTCAGCCTCAGTGGCTTAGATGATAGGCACATGTCACATACCTGGCTTTAACTTGCTTTTTTGTTTGTTTTTTGACACAGGAGCTCACTATAAGGTTCAGACTGGCTTTGAACTCACTGTATACTCCAAGCTGGCCTTGAATTCACAGTGATCCTCCTGCCTCACCCTCCTGACTGCTGGCTTTAACTTCCTTTTTTGTTTGTTTGTTTCCTTTTGGTACTGGGGATCAAATTCGGGACCTTGCTCTTGGAAGGCAGGCGGTGGAACCACTGAGCTAAATCCCTGGCCCAGGACAGTATATATTTCATTATTGTTGATACGCAGCCCTGGGGAGGCTGAAGCAGGATGATTGAAAGGTCCACCCAGGCTACATAGTGAGTCTGGCCAACCTGGACTGTACTGTATATGTAGTGAGACCCTGTCGCAAATCACAAAAACAACGTAACAGAAAAAACTTAACTGGTGACTGGTTTGTACCAACTCATGCCAGACCAATGAAGTGTTTTGGTGTTAAAAACTATCATTCGTTACGATTCTTATAAACCTGAGGAAATGCCGTTTACATTTTGCAGAGTTTTGCTGAGCTGAGTTGAGCATGATGGTACATGCCTGTACAGATCTTCCTCATTTGATGACTGAGATAGTCCCATGACCAGGTTGTTAAATGCATTGGTTGCTAAGGGAAGAATTGTGTGTAGTGTATACATTACAATATTCAGAACAAAGAAATGGTCAGAGGAAACTCCAGCTTGAAGAGTTTGCTTTTAACTCTTACATGCAGTACTGTAACATATAACAGAACATAAAACTACAGTACTGTGCAGCACCATCAGCAAAAATAGTCCCATATAAACAAGGTGTTATGTACCAAAAAAAAAAAAGATATTGAGGCTCTAAAAACAAGATGTACAGGGCCAGGGATTTGGCTCAGGGGTTCCGGTGCCTGCCTCGCAAGTGCAAGGTCCCGAGTTCGATCCCTGGTACCAAAAAAATAAAAATAAAAACAAGATGTATAGAACTGTACAAAAAAAAAGACAGGTTGTAAGTTCGAACAGTCGTTAACCATGTGGGTTGTTAAATGAGTATCTAATCCCAGACTTGGTAGATTTAGAGAAAAGGATTGCAAGTTGAGGCCAGCTTAGAGTGCATAGTGAGACCCTGCCTAAAACTACCCCTGAGGGGTGGGGATATTTAGCTCAGTGGTTCCAGTGCCTGCCTTGCAAGCTCAAGGTCCCAAGTTCAATCCCCGGTACAAAAAAAAAGACAACAAGAATCATGCATTGTGGGTCATATTCTGACCCAGTGCCTGATATGATTTCTTCACGCTTCTGTGCTGTTGCTTTCCACTAGAGGTCACAATCTTTCATTTTTTGGCGATTGGAAGTTGGGACTGAGTGGTTAATTAAATGTTTTATTTATATTCATCTTTTTTACAGTCTTGAATCCAGATAATAGTTTTGAAATATTAGTTGACCAATCCGTTGTGAACAGTGGGAATTTGCTAAATGACATGACACCTCCTGTAAATCCTTCACGAGAAATTGAGGACCCAGAAGACCGGAAGCCTGAGGATTGGGATGAACGACCTAAAATACCAGATCCAGATGCTGTCAGGCCAGATGATTGGTGAGCCTTGGCAACTCATCTTTGAGGATAGCAGAACATTTTGTGTTTCCCACATGGCTTGGACAAGCAAATGTTGAGGGCCTGTGATCTGACCACTCAAATATTTTTTGGTATAGTCTGTTCTTCAGGAGAAGATACAGATTATTCTAGGTGAAAAGGAGCCACAGTGATAACCTAGATTGTCTCACTCTTTTATAAACCATGAGATGGTGAAGTTGATGATAGTCTCCTTGTGGTTGGTTTGTGGCAGAACCTCTTAGCCTAGCCATTCCAGTGCATGTGTGCGTTTGATCTTGCGTTCATTCTTGTGTTCGTTCTTGCTTGCTTGCTTTCTCGCCCTTCCTTCCTTCCTTCCCCTTCTTTCCCTTCTTTCCTTTCTTTCATATTTTTTGGTACCAGGGATCGAACTTGGGACTTTGCACTTGCAAGGCTGAGCTACATCCCTGGCTCACTTTATTTATTTATTTTATTTAATTTATTTATTTTGGTACGGGGATTGAACTTGGGTCCTTGCGCTTGTGAGGCGGTGGAACCACTGAGCTAAATCCCCGGCCCCACTTCTTTATTTTTAATTTTTGTTCTTTGGTTCTTTGGAGATTGAACCTATAGCCTTGTGCATGCTAAGCATATGCTCTGCTACTGAGCTGTGCCCTTAGTCTCACCAGTGCGTTGAATCCTTTCAAGCTAAAGTCCTTAAATGTTAAAGTTTAATTTGAAAAGCACTCTTTTTCCTCTTTAAATAATACTGGAAGATCTCTGCTTTGTATTGGATAGTGAATACAAAGCCCAAAGGATGTGGTGTATACACACCTCCAGTGCAGTTGTGAGATAGGTAAATAAAATCAGCATGTAGTGTGGTAGGTGGTCTGTGAGAAAAGATGCTGCTAGGTGACCAGAGCACCAGATATGCCAAACTTGGCCAGTTTCTTGGAGCAGGGCAAAGTAAATTGAGACCCGGATACAGGGTGGGAAGATGGAAAAAGGCATTCTTCATTGAAGAGGAACATCATTTGTAGAAGTAGAGGAACAAGAATGAACTGAACATGTGAGAGAAATTAAGTATTACAGTATTTCAGGGCCGGGGATATAGCTCAGTGGCACCATGTCTGCCTCACAAGTGCAAGGTCCTGAGTTCGATCCCTGGTACCAAAAAAAAAAAAAGTATTACAGTATTTCCTTTGGTTGTGGGGTGGAAGTCAGAGAATGATGTGTTCATTCTCTTTTGTATGGCCATGTTTGACTCCAGTACAGGGGCTTCCAGAAATGTCAGGAAGTGAACAAAAAGAATACTCATCTCCCCTTTTTGTGAAAGTATCCTCCTATGGTTAGCAATTAAATTTTATCCCATTCACCCCCTCAAGCTCCCTTCCCTTCTTGTGTACAAAAACTTTGTTTTCATTTCAGTTAATCTTACTTATTCCTCTTTGAAAGTTATCATATATGGTGCCCCCCCCCGGGGGGGATTGAATTTGGGACCTTGTGCTTTCGAGGCAGGCGCCGGAACCACTGAGCTAAATCCCCAGCCCTCATATATGTTCTTGAACTTTTATGATGCACTAGTGAAAATACTGTTTACTTGCATATATGATGAACAGTAGATTTGGACTCAGCTTTGTTCATTATTATTTTTTTCCCCCTTAAATTCTTTTATTGGTACATTTTAGGTATACAATACATTTACATTTCTCATTGGGAACTTGTACCTTTACATGATGTATCTTGGTAGCCTTATTCGTTATTGTATCCCCCAACTAGCTGGTTTTTTGTTTTTTGTGTTTTGTTTTGGTTTCGGGGATTGAACTCGGGACCTTGTGCTTGTGAGGCAGGTGGCTGCACCACCGAGCTAAACCCCCGGCCCCTTAACTAGCTGTTTTGTTTTGGGAATTGGGGTGGTGAGTACTTGAAAAGGGTCAAGTCAGAGCTGAGCATGGTTGTACATACCTAAAATCCCAGCACTAGAGAAGCTGAGTCAGGAGATTGCCTCAGTTCCAGGCCAGCCTGGGCAACATAGTGAGAATCTGTCCAAAAATGAGAGCAAATCCTGGTGTGGTGATGCTCACCTATAATCCCAGCAGTGAGGAGAGTGAAGCGGGAGGATTGCCCTGAGTTTGAGGCCAGCCTGGGCTACACAGTGAGTTCAGGGCTACTGGACTACATAGCAAGACTCTGTCTCAAAAAGAAACAAAATGGCAACAATAACAACAAAAGGAAAACAGGGGAGTGTTAAACAGATTTTTGAGGTTTTCCCATTAAAACTAGCCTGGTTGTAAAACAAGTGCTCTGGGCTAGGCATCATGCTCAGCGGTAGAGTGTAGGATTCCTCCTGCACTTTTTTTGTAGCACCAAAAAGCACAAACAGATAAGCTGCCCCAAGATAGAAGGGTCTTTGGTTAGCAACTAAAGTGGTGCTGTGTTACAGCTATTACACAAAACTGAAATTGTTATATATATATATTATATATAACATGACTTATATATATACTTTATATATATGTATACTTTATATATATTTTATCTACAAAGCTTTGTATGGAAAGTTAAAATGCTGTTACAGTCTCAGTGTTGTCACTGGTGGCCACACTACTCACACCTGTTGACTCACTACTCACACCTGTTGACTCACTACTCACACCTGCCCTTGCCACACCGAGAATCTTGCACAGAAATGCGAAGAGCTAACTACACTTGCAGTTTTGTTGGGGCAGAGTCCTCAGGCTTGGTGGTGCATTACCAAGAGGGACTAAATGGAAGAAGGTGGAATGCCACAGTAACTGTTCTTTGGCTCTCTGTGTGAGTGGAAACCCTGGGGTTTGTATTACAGCTGCCTTTTTTGGTTTTTGTTTCATTTTTTTTAAACAGCTACCAAATCCATGAGCAGTCCAGCCAATACTGAACAGTTCTCTTTTTGGAGGTTATTTGGGGTCTTATAATCATCTCCTTAAACATTTGTTTCTCTTTTCTTGTTTATATCTTTTCTGCTTTTTTCTTCCTCTTTGTCTTCCTCCTCATCAATTTCTCTATTGTGTCCAAATTCTTCTTCCTCGACTTCATTTTCTTCCCCTTCTACATCTCCATGTTCATCAGACTCTGGAGCTTCATTGTCCTCCTCTTCCTCATTTTCTCCATCTTCCTCCTGTTCATCTATGCCATCCACCTCTGTGGGGCTTCCCGGCCCTCTCTGTCATGGCTGTCCAGGTAGCTTAGTCTCTCGATAGTCATTCAGGTTGGTGACTTCCCAGTTAAATAGGTCCAGGCTTTTCAGTCTGCTTTTTTCAAAGATTCCGAGGTGCTAATATCTTTCAGTTTATTTCCACTTCAGTTTATATGTGTGAGATTTGGAAGTTTTTCTCCTAACATGTCCAAACCGTGGAAGATTCTACAGCCATTGAGTTCAAGCTTTTTAAATTTAGGTAGCTCGGAGAGATTTGAGACTAAAATCAAGCAAGTATTTATTAAGCTGAGGAACTCTTTAAGTTCACACATTCAGCTGTTAAGCCCTTAGTTTTTCTATCATTTGGTTTGCAATTATCCAAGAAAATTCTTTGGTTCTTCAGCTCCCAGTGGATCCTAGCCTTCATGTGCACGTTCCCCTCATCTCCTCTCTTCATACTTCACTTTCTGAGACAGGGTTCAGCGGGGTCTCGTGTAGCAAGGGCAGTGGGAAACCAGTGAGCAGAGTCCCAGAGCCAGGGTACTTGCAGGAGTGGGGAGAGACCTCGGAGGGGAAACAAGAAGTACATGTTCTTGTTGATGGGCTTCTGTGACTATCTTTTAGACACACATTGGTGTTTAATGTATTCACAGTGTTCCGTAGTCATCAGCACTGTCCACTTTCAGGGTATTTGTATTATCCGGAACACTATACCCATTAAGGAGTCACTCCCTGTATGGTAGTGTCCCTTGCCCCAGCACCTAGCACCTGGGATCTGCTCTGAACTCTGGATTTGCTGTCTGGACAGCTCCTGTTAACAGAATTAGTGCAATCCGTGGCCATTTGCATCTGCTTCTTTCAGTCAGCACAGCTTTCATGGTTCATCTATGTTAAAGCCTGTGTAAGCACTGCATTTCTTTTTGTATTTGAGTAATACTTCATTGTGTAAATAATACCACATTATATTTATTCTTTCCTTAGTTGGTGGACATTTGGGTTGTCTTTTTTGGCTGTGGTTATGAGTCACGCTCCTGTGAACATTGGTATTCTGGTTTTTGCCCAGAGGTATATTTTCATTCTTGGTGTTATATACCTGCAAGTGGGATTGCTGGGTCATATGGTAATTTTAATTTGATGAACTGGCACTTTTCTTTTTCCTTTTTTCTTTTTTTTTTTTGGCACTGGGGATTGAACTCAGGACCTTGTGCTTTTGAGGCAGGCGGTGAAACTGCCACTCTTCTAAAGCAGCTACACCATTTATTTTCTCACCAGCAATGAAAAAGGGTTCCAGCTTCTCTACCCTCCTCACCGACACTTGTTTTTTATTCTTTTTAAATCCATGTTTGCAGTAAATAATGTTTACCTTCCTTGTGTGGAGTTAGTACATGTACATAACACACTTTAATTCCTTTTTCATTCCTCTTTCTTTCTCCTTTTCCCTCCCTCCATCTCTTGATCCCTTTCCCATTTGAGAAAGATCTGTCTCCTTCCTGTTACCTTGTATTTTGCTCTTTATTTATAATCTGGGTTTCTCATATAAGAGAAACTATGTGAGTTAAAGTTGTGTGTCTGATATTTCATTTAACATTATGGTCTTAAGGTGCATCCATTTTCCTGTAAGTCACTTAAGTTTCTTGTCTTTATGGCAGAGTAGTACTCCATTGTGTGTAAAGACCACATTTTCTGGATCCATTCATTTGTTGATAGATATATGGGCTGCTTCCAAGATTTAGCTATTATAAATTGTGCTGCTATAAATACAGGTGTGCATGTGTGGCTGTAATATGATGTTTTTAACTCTTTCAGAAGATGTCTAGAAGGGGAATAGCTGGGTCAAATGGAATTTCTAGTTTCATGTATTCATTTGTACTTCTGTGAAGTGTCTGTTTCTCTTGCCCTTGGTTGTTTTTTGTTGTTGTTTTTTTTTTGTATCACGGATCGAACTCAGGACCTTGTGCTTGTGAGGCAGGCATGGTACCACTGAGCTAAGTCCCTGGCCCCACTTACCCCTTTTTTTACTCAGTCTTTTAATCTGGAGAGTCTTGATTTTCTTTTTAGTTCTTTATATGTATTAGTTATCTGTCTGAGAAATAACTGGCAATTTTTTTTCCTCATTTTGTAGGTTGTCTTTTCAATCTGTTGGTTGTTTCTTTTGCTGTGCAGAAGCTTTTTAATTTGGTGTCCTGTTTGTTGATTTTTGCACAAGAGCTGTTTTCTGGGTGACCAGAGTTCTGTTCACTTGTTCTTAGCCAAAAGGCAGAGAAGCTTGAGGTTCTGTTCAGAAAGTCCTTGGCTACACTTATGACCTCAAGAGGTTTATTTATTTCATCTTCCAGCAGGTTGTTTCTTCTTTACCATTTAGGTTTTTAGGGCTGGGGATGTAGCTCAGTGGCGCTGCACCTGCTTGCAAGCACAAGGTCCTGAGTTCGATCCCTGATACCACACACAAAAAATTAATAAATTGAAGAAACATTTAGTTCTTTGATCCATTTTGATTTTAGTTTAGTACATGATAAGAGATATGGGTCTAGACTCAATCTTCTACATGCAGACAGCCAGTTTTCCCACACATTTTTTTTTTTTTTTTTGGTACCAGGGATCAAACTCAGGTCCTCGTGGTTGCAAGGCAGGCGGCAGAACCACTGAGCTAAATCCCTGGCCTACACACATTTTATTAATTAAGGAGGTTGTCTGCCCTCCAGTGTATGTTTTTAGCCTCTTTTTCAAAGATCAAATTGTTTTTTTGGTTTTTTTTTTTCCCCCAGTACCGGGAATCAGACTCAGGATCTTCTGCTTGCCAGGCAGGTGTGGTGCCACTGAGCTAAATCCTAGGCCCTTAAGATCAGATTGTTGAATGTGCTTGTTTCTGCATTTTCTTTTGTTTCATTGATCCACATGTCTTTTTTTGTGCCTGTACCATGCTGTTTTTATCAATGTAGCTTTGTAATATAATTTCAAGTCTGGGGTTGTGATGCCTCCTGCTTTGCTCTAGTTACCCAGGAATGCTTTTGCTATGCTGGGTCTCTCTCTTTCTTTTCTTTTTCTTTTTTTTTTTGGTACTGGGGCTCAAACTCGGGACCTTGTGCTTGTGAGCCAGGTGCTGGAACCACTGAGCTAAATCCTGGGCCCCTAACATCTTTTTGTATGGCTATTGGCTATGTGTGTAGCTTATGTATTTGGTGAAATGTGTACTCAAATCGTTTTTTTTTTTTTTATGGAACTGGGGATAGAACTCAGGACTTTCCGCTTGCCAGGCAGGCACTGGTGCCACTGAGCTAAACCTCCGGCCCTGTACTCAAATATTTTGCTGATTCCAGCAGCCCCTTACTGGGGATTGAAGTCTGGGTACTGAACTATATTGCTAGCCCTTTTGGCTTTCTGTTGTTGTTTTGTGTTTTTTTATTTTATTAAAAACGGGTTTTTTTGGTATTGGTTATTGAACTTGGGACCTTGTGCATGTGAGGCAGACGGGTGGAACCACTGAGTTAAATCCCTGGCTGTTTTGTATTTTTTTAAATTTTAAGGTAAGGTCTTGCCAAATTGCCAGGGCTGGCCTTTTGGGGGTGGGGTGGAGGGGGATGTGTGTGTGGGGGGGTGTGATGAGACAGGCTCTCACTATTCAGTTCAGGCTGGCCTTGAACTCATTATGTAGCCAGGCTGTTTCCCTCTGCTTCAGCCTCTCAAATGCTGGAATTATAAACCATGCCTGGTGCTTGGCGTGGCCTTGAACTTGGGATCTTCTCAGCCTCCTGAGCAGCTGTGGTTACAGATGTGTGCCATCATGCCTGGCTTACAGATTTTATTTTTTGAGTTATCTTTTAATTATTGAGCTGTACTTCTTTTTTTTATTTTTTTTTTTGGTACCAGGGATTGAACTTGGGACCTTGCGCTTTTGAGGCAGGCAGCAGAACCACTGAGCTAAATCCCCAGCCCAAGGTGTTCTTCTATATTGTGGATACTGGGCCCTTAATACATGATTCACAAGTACTTTTTTTTTTGGTACCGGGGATCAAACTCAGGTCCTTGTGCTTGCGTAGAAGGTAGCTAAACCACTGAGCTAACTCTCCGGCCCCACAAATACTTTTGAAGAGGAATTGTTTTAAATGTCGAGAGTAAGATCTAAGCTGCTACAATGGGACTATACTGTGACTCTCCGGTCAGTGTCAACATAACTGGCATTTTCTTTTGTGTTTAAGGGATGAGGATGCTCCTGCTAAGATTCCAGATGAAGAGGCCACAAAGCCTGAAGGCTGGTTAGATGATGAGCCTGAGTATGTACCTGATCCAGATGCAGAGAAGCCAGAAGACTGGTAAGCGGCTTGGTGTTCACTTTTTAAATTACCTGGTTTTTTATTAAAATAAAAATTAATACTTAAATACAACCAAGTGCCCAAACTTAAAGGGAGAGCTCTATAAATTTAATTGCATTTCATCATCACATTTTTACAGTGCATCTGTTGTTAGGACAAGTTATTTTTACTGGAATTGAGAAGCAAGAAGATGGTGTTCTACAAGACTTTGTGAAAGCATTTCAGCAGAAATTTGATAGTCCTGGGCTGGGTACATGTTCACAGTGCTGCAGCCCGAACCTATTTGTAACTTGTTGTGTGTTCCCTGCAGGGATGAGGACATGGATGGAGAATGGGAGGCCCCTCAGATTGCCAACCCTAAATGTGAGTCAGCCCCTGGCTGTGGGGTTTGGCAGCGACCTATGATTGACAACCCCAATTATAAGGGCAGATGGAAGCCTCCCATGATTGACAACCCTAACTACCAGGTTTGTGCCTCTTGGTGGTTGAGTTGCTTTTCTTAATTTGTTTGTATTTAGACAGAAGTTTTGTCTGCAGTGAGGCTGCCAGGTTGATCACTATATTCAGGCTATTAAACTAAGTAGGAAGTAGGGTGAGCATGGTGGTACGTGGCTGTGATCCCAGCAAGCACTCTGGAAAGCTGAGGCACGAAGATCTGCCTGGGCAGTTTAGTGACTTAGTGAGAGAGAGAGAGATTTTATTTTTTTTTGCTGGACATGGTGGCTCTCGCCTGTTAATCCCAGCACTTGGTGGCTCAGTTCGAGGCCAACTTGAACTAAGTAGTAAGACTGTCTCAAAAAGACAAAAAAAAAAAGCTAGAGATACAGCTCAGTGTGAAGGCCCCTGCTTCAATCCTCAGTACTAAAAAAAAAAAAAAAAAAAAAAAGAGTATGAGCTTAGTGGGTTAAGAGGTACAAAGATAGCCGTCAGTGCAGGCCTGTCATCCCAGCTACTTGGGAGGTCAAGACAGAATTGTAAGTTTGAAGCCAGCCTGGGCAACTTAGTGAGATGCTGTCTCAAAATAAAACTTAAAGGGCTGGGGTTGTAGCTCAGTGGTAGAATATTCACCTAGCATGTGCAAGGCACTGGATTTAACCCCCAGTACTATTCAACAAAAGTGTTGTGCCAGGGCCGGGGATTTAGCTCAGTGGTTCCACTGCCTGCCTTCCAAGCACAAGGTCCCAAGTTCAATCCGTCGTACCAAAAAAAAAAAAAAGTGTTGTGACAAACCTAGAAACTGGAGAGACAAGCTTTCATAATTCCTTTGTGACTTATGTTTAAAGACGGAAAATGAAGACATGAGGAAAAAAGTTAAAAAGAAAAGAAAATTGGGGAACTTGTCATTTGGATACCTACTGTTAAGTGGTGCAGGGGTCCTTCCGCCACAGGATCCATATCAAGATTGGCGATCTCTGAGACATGACACATAGAGGACTGTGATAGGAGTTGACTCCTTCAACTCGGGGTCTACTCATTTCTAGGCCTTGATACCTTCACCAGTGAAATGGCTAAGACTCGTGAGCTGATACAAATACACATAATGACCTTAGGAAGCTCCAGATTACTGTGAAAATCCTTGTCTGTATTCTGTTTCCAACCTAGCAAAACTATGATCACTCATTTCTACTCTGTCAAAATTTAAAATGAATGGTGTAAGTCTTTCCATATGCGTATATTTTTGTGTTGTAAAATGTATTTTTTAAATTGTGTTCTCAGACAAGATAAAATAAAAATTGCACTTCAACACTTAGGACTCTGAGGCAAGAGTGTGAGTTTGAGGCCAGCCTGGGCTACATAATTAAGAAACAAAGCAGGCTAGGCTTGGTGCCACATGCCCATAATCCCAGTAGGGGAAGGCTGAGGCAGGAGGATCGCTGTGAGTTTGAGAGCACCCTAGGCTACACAGTGAGTTCAGGGCCAGCCTGAACTACGTAGTGAGACCCTGCCTGGTTCAAAAATAAAGAAAAATACAGGAGCCAGGGATTTAGCTCAGTGGTCCTGCCGCCTGCCTTGCAAGGGCAAGGTCTGGAGTTTGATCCCCGTAACAGAAAAAAAAAGAAAAGAAAAGAAAAAGAAAAAGAAAAATTGCACTTAAAAATATTGCCATCTAGCTCTTCTGTTGGTGTCCATTTAGGTGCATTGCCACTTTTGCCTTTAGAGTCAGTGCAGCAGTCAGTAATCATCCACGTACCTTCTGGGTACATGTAGTATTTTTCAAGGTAGTTATGTAGCCGTGAATTGCTGGTTGAAGATCATATGTGTCTTGTTTAAATCACCACTGAGAAAGTCTGTACTGACGTATGCTCCCACTGCCAGTGGCCATTGAGAAGAGTGGGAACTCGTGGAATGAGTTGGGTAGAATGAAGGTGTAAGTTTGGAACAAGGTCACAGATATTAAAAATTGAAAGTAATTGGAGTCCAGAAATCTAGGAGACAAAGTATGTTTGAAAAAAAATAGTGCCGGTATGGTGGCGCATGCCTGTGATCCTAGCACTTAGGAGGCTGAGGCAGGAGAATTGCCACAAGTTTAAGACTAGCCTGGACCACACGACAAGACCCTGTTTCAAACAACTTTAAAAAAAAAGTATTATTGACAAAGTCAGTATTCATCTACATTGATTATGCAGAATCAATCTTACAGTTGGTTTTTGTTGATCATTATCTGAAATAATTATTTGGAACTTTTTTTTTTTAAGGGAATCTGGAAACCCAGGAAAATACCAAATCCAGATTTCTTTGAAGACCTGGAACCTTTCAAGATGAGTCCATTTAGTGCTGTTGGTTTGGAGCTGTGGTCCATGACTTCTGACATTTTTTTTGACAACTTTATCATTAGTAGTGAACGAAGAGTAGTTGATGATTGGGCCAATGATGGATGGGGCCTAAAGAAAGCTGCCGATGGAGCTGCAGAGGTACTTGCTTGTGTCTTGTGTGTCCTTATGTCTGTTATAGGCAACTCATTGTTTTGTGAAAAGCCATCTTTTAGGGGTTTTTTTTCCCTGTATTTGGAAATATTGTCATAAAAAGTGTAACAGTATGCCTGCTAAAGAAAAAATACTGGATTTTTGGTGACGATTTCATTAATGTAGTGACTTAAGATTTCTATTTGTATATAGCAGGTGTTTTGTTTTAAATGTATGTGTCACTTTGCCATTTGGAGTTTCTTTGGTACCAGGGATTGAACTCGGGACCTTGCACTTGGCAGGTGGCGGGGACACTGAGCTAAATCCCTGGCTAAAGTTTGTTATAATGAACTTTTCTTTGGTAAATGTTTTAATGCACTTTTAAGATGTTGAATCTTCGTTTACTCCACGTAGGGAATTTTCAAACATTCATGTGACTGAGCTGAAGGCCAGGGAGACAGATGAAGGCATTCTTGTTGGACATGGTGTTCCATACTTAGGGAGCTTGTGAGGCAGGAGGACCAGGAGTGTGAGGCCAGCCTTTCTGCATAGCAAGACCCTGTCTCAAGGGAAATCCAGCTTTTCAAAGGCTGGGATTATAGCTTTGCATGGAGCACATGCCTAACATGTGCAAGGCCCTAGGTCAGTGATGGTGAACCTGTAGAGCTTCCAGTGACACAAACAGCCCACTGCTGCATGTGTCCCAAATGTTTGCCACCACTGCCTAGGTTCTGTCTCACCACCAAAATTCTACATACCTGGTTCCTGAGGTTAAGGGAGTCTTTTGCAGGTGATTAAGAAGCCAGCTTTTTTACTTACGAAAATAAAGTCCTGGGATGATAAAGAGAACAGGAAAATGATAATTTTCTTTTTACACTGTATGAACATTTTGGCCTGAACTCTGAAAAGGGGGAGCCTATGTAGTGCCATGCCATGACCAAACAGTGGAACAAGTAGTACATTCTATTTGGGTCAGAAGCCAGAACTTTCCATCATTGCTGCCTTGTTTTTCAGCCAGGCGTAGTGGGGCAGATGCTCGAGGCGGCTGAGGAGCGCCCATGGCTCTGGGTGGTCTACCTTTTGACTGTAGCTTTGCCTGTGTTCCTTGTAATCCTCTTCTGCTGTTCTGGAAAGGTAGGAATGCTTATTTGGAATCACATTTAGAAAGAACTCTTATGTTGTTAAAAATAACTAAGATACTTTGCCTGAGGTTTTCTTTGTAGCAGCTCGGTAATGACTGGACCACACTTTGAGTTGACTGTGAAACCTTATTCACTACTCCTCAGTGGTCATTCATTGTGCCCAAGTGGGAGTAGGACTTACAGGTCCCCAGTTGCCAGTATTATCTAGTCTACGCTATTACTTTTCTTAGTATTTGGTGCAGCTTTTCTTCAAGAAAAAAGAAGAACTTAGCTGGGCACAAACCAACTGTTGCTCCTGGCATTGTTTCAGTTTTTAATATTTATAGTTTATTTGATCTTTGATTTTTTTCATCCATTGCTCCCCAACTGCCCACCTTCTCAAAGCAGTACATATGTGGGGTTTCTTATGAGTTTTTCATGTTTAGCTCTGTTGCATGCTTTCTGTTTCTATAACAGGATTATGCTTCACCTTGGATTCATAACACTTCGTAATTGGAACCAAAGTTCCTTTTCCAGCCTTATCCCCATCTGTACCTCAGTCTGCCTGACAAGCTAGCCCTGTACTTTCCTGCCTGACCTCTTGTTCTTACCATTTCTTCTACCTTGAGCCACACACTTTCTCACTTAAAAGAAAGCTCTTCAGGTAGAAACTGTATCTTTCTCATGTTTATATATCTATTCCTATGTATATCCCAGTATAGAATTTTCTGTAGGCATTCAGTAATTGTATAGTAACATAATACAAGAAAATGTGAATAAAGTTGTTGGACTCCGGGGGAATATTTCAGAAACAGTCCAGTGCTATGGAGTACAAGAAGACTGATGCTCCTCAACCAGATGTGAAGGAGGAGGAAGAGAAGGAGGAAGAAAAGGATAAGGGCGATGAGGAGGAGGAAGGTGAAGAAAAGCTTGGTAAGTAGTCTCTCCAAAGTCTTGAAACGAAGAGATGAGACATAGTCCTAGCAAAGGAGATAGACAAGTCCTAGCAAAAAATTGCAGATGTTAATTGTCTTAATTAGCAAAATAACATGTGAGGTTTTGCTTAGTTTAACTTTTTAAACTTTCATTTTAGAAGAAAAACAAAAAAGTGATGCTGAAGAAGATGGTGGCACTGTTAGTCAAGAGGAGGAAGACAGAAAACCTAAAGCAGAGGTAAAATAAAGGGGGTAACATCTTTTGTATTTTAAACAACTAAGCTGAAGGTACATTTAAGAAAGGGAAAATTTTCATAAGTAACTTACAATGGCTGTGGCAGTAAAAAATTCATTAGAGACAATTTTGTTAAAGTGGATTCTTGGTATAGGTCAAGATTTTATTTAATAATTTTTAAACTACATCTGAATCTCAAGTATTTTCCTGTGCTGAGAACGGTCTTGTAGAATAAGAAGGTTGTGGAGGGAAACAATGTTTTCTAAGGTGGGAACTTCTAAGTTTTGTAACCATTCTGTCTCTTCTTTCTTTCTTGGTGGTTCCTCAAAAAGTACTTCTTGCATGATCACTGTATATTTGATGAATGCCTGCTATGTGCCACACATTGTTAGTGAACCAAAGGGGAACTTAAAGTGTTGTACAGGGAAACAGAAAATAAGTAGACATTGGAAATAGGTCACATAGTATATTGAATAAGCTATCAAGAATTAAGACAGGAAATAGTGGAAGTGCTAGAGGTGGCACGGGTTACAGTGCTAAATAATTCATTAAGGTGAGCTTGGTGGTTCATGTTGGTAATCCCAGCACTCTGGGAGGCTGAGGAAGGAAGATTGGAAGTTCAGGCCCAGCTTGGGTAACTTAGCGAGATTCTGTCTCAAAAAATAGAAGGGGCTGCAGATGAGAAGGGCCTCATAGGCCACTGCATAGACAGCTTTTTCTTTCAGTGATATTGGTACCCACTCTGGGCTTTTGAGAACAGGCATGACAGGTTCTGTTTGTTGTGGCTGCTGTGTTTTCTCTTAGACTAAGGAGAATCAGGGAGACCAGTTAGGAGGCTTTAAGGGTACGGGCAAGCTGTGTGCCTCTGAGCAGGACGGATGACTGAGAGGACTTCTGGGTCTGGGTGTTGTGGTAGATTGCACATGGGTATGAGAAAGGGACTAATCATTGTGTACACCTTTGTTAACAAAGTCCCTTCTCTAGAGCCACCCCTGGGTGCAGTCTGCTCCATCATGCAAACCTCTACTGGGGTTTTTCTTCCAGCCATATCTCTGTTGACTAAAGTCAGTGCTTTTTGGGCCGGGGATTTAGCTCAGTGGTTCCGCCGCCTGCCTCGCAAGCGCAAGTTCCTGAATTCGATCCCCAGTACCAAAAATAAATAAATAACATAAAATAAATGCTTTTTGAATCTTGTTTATATATTTTTTTGACCTTGCGCTTGCAAGCCAGGTAGTGGAACCACTGAGCTAAATCCCCAGCCCTCTTGTTCATATTTTTAATGGATATGTTCTGTTCCAACTAGAGTGTAGGTCTTGAATGTAGGGACATATCTCACATGCTTTTTTTTTTTTTTTTTTTTTAATGGTGCTGGGGATGGAACCCAGTGCCTCGTATATGCTAGGCCAAGTGCTCTACACCGCTCTGTCCCCAGCCTTCACGTGTCTTACACAGTAAAGGGGGAGTTAAGGGGAGTGATTTTCAGCCTTCATCTGTGATAGAGCAGAAAGAGCACCAGTTTGTAATCCACTTGGATTGTTTGTAGTCTTCTTTTGAATTCTATGTGTCTTATCCTCAAAATGGAGGTGATGTGCCACAGGCAGGTAGTATGTTTAGGATTAAGTCAGATAAAGTATGTGTTTTTGTAAAACAAAAGACAAAAAGTAAAATAGAGTATTTGTAACTTCACTACTTCTAACACAGTGTTTCTTGGTGGTACATTTTCTTCTAATCATTTTTCTTTTTTGTCTTCAAATGTGTTATTCTTTACCTGGCTGATGTTGGAAATTTGTTTAACTTTCATTTCTTTTAAAATGTCCTAATTACAGTAAATTTCTTCTCTTTTTAACCAATAGGAGGATGAAATTTTGAATAGATCACCAAGAAACAGAAAGCCACGAAGAGAGTGAAACAATCTTAAGAACTTGATCTGTGATTTCTTCTCCCTCCCCTTCCCTTGCAAGTGTGGTCCTAGGAGAGGACCTGGCCTACCTTAGGTTGAAACTCAGAAAACCTCAGACATCACCATCAACAGGTTCCAGCTGAACACTAGTCTGTATAATTTTAAACATCTAGCAGAAAATAATTGCAGTTGTGACATAAAGGAAGGACCCTGTTTCTGTAGAAGAGAAGACATGTAACATAATGGTTGTGAAATGTAACATGAAGCAACTAACTTGTTTTTTGTTTTATTTTGTTTTAAAACACCTTTTAAAAATAGAACCATAAAACCTTGCCACTCTAAGATTTTGGCTTAATTGAATATATTAATCTGTCCATGCAGAAATAACACCAACATTTAGAAATACTAGGGGAATGAATTGCAGTTTTTATAACGATTTTTTTAAGTTTGGTATTAAAAAACATTCAAATGTTTCTGTCCCTTATAATTGATAATCATGTTTAAAGTGCAGTCATTTGTGGTTATAATGTTTTGCTTGCTCTCATTACTCAATTTCTTGTAAGGAAATTGAGGAGGGATTGGATGGAAGCCCAAATTTATATAAAAGTTCTGTTAAGTTGTATTAAAAATAGACATACAAAAAATACTTTTTACTTGTTGTTGGTTAGACCGTAAAGTGTGTGTGTTCTGTTGCCCTTGGAACTGCTTGATTTGCAGACAGCTGTCCAGCTTGTGGAGGAGGTGGCTTAATGCAGCACTTGGGCATTCCTACTTCACACAGGAAGGCTCTGGCGTGGCCTTCAGAGCAGGTGTCAGGAATGCTGACTGGGTCTGTGAGCTCCAGGTAGACGTTTCCATCACTTGTTCCACTGTGCTGACACTGTTTTCCCTACCTATTCCCCTAGTTCTCAGCTTCCTCCTCTGCTATGCATTTTCTTCACAGTGCAGCTTGCAGCCCTTCGCTAAAAATGATTATAAAGCTCTGCATAGTGTTAAGCTTTATTGTGATTACATGTATGTTTCTTTTCTTTTTTTTTTTTTTTTAAAGCAGACCCATACCTTTCCAGGGTATTGTACAGGATACAATATAAACTTTGATTTTTTTTTTTTTTCCATTTCTTTTGTTCTGTGTAAAGACTTTAGAAGTCTAATCCAGAGGTGGGCCAATTCAGAATTGACTGTAATTGAATACAGGCTAAAAGTATTTATGGGAGGAGTGACATATAGCATGAGTTATCTGGTTTTTGTAGAATATTTTAAGTCTTCATTTGCAGTTCATGTAACAGTCCTGTCTTAAATTTACACAATAAAGCAGTCCTGTTCAATTTGTTCTTTAATGTGGCTTGAGGAATTTTTTTCAGGAGAGATTTTAGGTTTGTTATTTCACGTGGAATGCAAATGGGTGCTATCAGAGCCTCTCCCTCATCACTAGAGTGTAATAAGACCATTATTACACCACACAGAAATGTATTCAGAAACAGATGTTGTTTCAGCTTTATTCTTTGTTTGGAGCCATTTCAATTGTACTGAGGATGCTGCTCTTTGCACTGAATATATAAACACTCCATGGTGTGGATAGTGGGGAGCCTTGGGGGAGGAAGTATATTTGTAAAAGATGAAGGCTGTACCCATTTATTTCATCTTTTTTGAAACACTGGTTCAGTTACAATTTTTTTGGAGGGTGGGATGCATTTTTCTTGCTGTTCAGTGCTTTATGTTTCTCATCTGTTGTTCTGTGGTCACAGTGACCTTAGCTATGTAGCAGACTTTCCCAAATGTATTGAGTGCAAATAAACAATTATTTAGCAAGACCTGAAAATACGTCTGCAGGTTTCTCCTTGAAGCAAATGGGTGGGGATTATTGCATTTCCAATAATCTGCCTTCATTCTCCACTGACATTGTATTTCATGCCTTTCTTCCCGCTGAGCTGTAAAATGACAGGTTTAATCATGAGTGTTCACTGCCTTTGTAGGTTGTTTAGCAGAATTCTTCAAAATAAAAACACCTTCGTTTTTTTTCCTTTCTTTCCAGTGCTTAAGATGGAGCCTCCTGCATAAATGTGTGACACATTTGTTAATGACCAGCTTTCAGCTCTCAAAAAGGCGTGATATTCAGATTTTACATGCTGGTTACTTGTCCCCATTATTATAAAATGCCCGTTCTCTATCTGATGTGTCCCTGTATTTTACCCACAAAATACTCTTCACTATTTTCAGATTGTCTCGTTACTAAATGGTGTCACATTAAAGCCCTGTGTTCCTTTTGGGGGTGGTGGTGGTGAAAGGGGTTTATTTGGCTCACAGTTCACAAAAGTTTCAGCCCATAATCAGCTGGCTCCAAAGGCAGGGATGGCAAACAGGCATCACAGAGGAGAGACAACAGGGCGCGCAAGTGGCAGCAAAGGTAACAGCTTTTTTTTTTTTTTTTGGTACCGGATAGCGAACCGTGGTCCTTGCGCTTGCGAGGCCGACCACGGAACCACTGAGCTAAATTCCGGCCCCTAAAGCCGTGTGTTGTGTCTGCTTTTGAGTGAACTCAAAAGCGGTGACTGGGTGGGTGTTTGACTTTCCGCAGTAGGTTCCTCTTCCTTTCATTGGCTGAGTTTGCCCACAAGCAGAAACTTACACATGGTACAGGGCTCTCTACCTGGAACGCTGCCTGAGCCCGCGGCTGGGTTCCGAGTGACCCAGCTTGAGGAGCAGGCGCCCTGCGGAGTGAAACGCGCTTGCCGCTAGTCTGCCCTGACTGAGCGCTGGGACTGGACCGCTTCACACCCGCCTCCCTCGTGGCTGCTTTTTCCTACGAGCTTCAGCCTCCTCACCCTGGAACAAGTGGACACTGAGTCCCTATCTTCAGCGTGATGCAGGAGGCAGAAAGCCTCTGGCCGAGGATGGGGCCAGGTGTAAGCAAAGAGGGACAAGAAAACGGCCGTTTGTCAGCTGAACGTGGAGCTTGAAAGTGTGCAGCGCGGGGACGGCGCCGGTCTCGCCAGCTGCTCGGCGCTCGGCTTCCCTCGGGCACCCGGAAGGGCCCTTCGGGGCGTGGCGAGGGAACTGCTGTCGCGGCTTGGGCGGGCTCCTGTCAGTCACAGCTAGCTCCGCCCCGGGGCCGAGGCCCGCCCAGGGGCTTCCCTTCGCCCGACGCTTCAGCGTTCCTTTTAAATACAGTAGCGTAGCGCACTGCTTACGTGCTCGTCCCCACGCCTTCGGGTGGCCTCTTCTTAGTTCTGATTGGTCGCAGTTTCTGTCGGTCAGTCGTGACTCGAGGTCGCCGGCCAAGGCCCCGCCCTCTTCCGAGAGCCCTGAAAACAATTTTAAGATGGCGGCGGCGGCGGCGCGGAAAACAATGGGGCCGGGGCGGAGGGAAGAGGCCGAGGCCTGAGGTGGGCAGCGAGCGCCGGCCCGACTCGGGCCGAGCGGGGCAAGAAGAAGACTCGCCAACGCGGGCGACCCCGCCCCGCAGTCTGCGGGAGCATGGCGCGGCCGTGAGGCGGGCCGGGCAGCCGGGGAGAGGGAGCCCTCAGTGCCTGCCGGCCCCGGGCCCGGCCCGTGCCGCCCGCGGCCCATGGTGCTGCCCACCTGCCCCATGGCGGAGTTCGCGCTGCCGCGGCACAGCGCCGTCATGGAGCGCCTCCGCCGGCGCATCGAGTTGTGCCGGCGCCACCACAGCACCTGCGAGGCCCGCTACGAGGCCGTGTCGCCCGAGCGCCTGGAGCTCGAGCGCCAGCACACCTTCGCCCTGCACCAGCGCTGCATCCAGGCCAAGGCCAAGCGCGCCGGCAAACACCGGCAGCCGCCCGCCGCCCCGGCCCCGCGCCTCGACGCTGCCGACGGCCCGGAGCACGGCCGCCCGGCCACGGTGAGGAGCTGCCCCTTCCCCCGGGAACCGGGACCCGCCGGCCGGCGCCCGGGCTGCCCGGGGAGCTAGGGGGCCCGGGCTGGCGCCCTGAGGCTGTCACCTGCGCGGTGGCGCCGTGGCACTGCGTTGGAGGGCGGCGCAGCCGGGACCGTGCGGAGGCCGGGCCGGGAAGGCAGAGGACGTTCGCGGAAAGGGTTTCCTTCCAGACTCGATCCCAAAAGGCAGAGGACTTCAGTTTGGAGTCGCCTGTGATGTAGTGGCTTCAGCACTGTAGGCCTGGCCTCGTTGATTCTGCAGACGTTGTTTGGCTCTCCGTGCCAGAAGCGAGGCCAGGGCTTTAATATGGAAATTAGCCGGCCTTCGGTCGAGCAAATCACACCGCTTCTGAATGGAAGAATCGAAGTCTTCAGAGACCTTAGTGAAAGGCAGGCAGGGCGCTGTTTCCTGTGTAGGCACTCCTGAAATTAGTGAATTTTCGGTTCTTGCGATGTTGTTGACAGTTCCAAATTAACTTCGGAAGCCTATTTAAAATCTTTGATGCCATTAAATAGTTGTCGGGAAATTGTTACACCTTTTGTGCTTCAGTAGTTATTACAGAAATTTGTTGATTAGAAGTTATTTTTCTCCCTGAAACATTATAAAAGGGAGACAAGTTTGTGTGTGTGTATTTTTGTAGTTGGTGTTGCTGTTTTATTTTGTTAGGGTAGTGTGGTGTTCTTGGTAATTTAAAGTTTAGACCAGATGTTACTGCTGTGATTTCTTCCGTGTATTTTATATTTTTAATTTAACTTTATTTTATTTTTTGAGACAGAGTCTTGCTGTGTGGTCCAGGCTGGTCTTGAACTCACTATGTATTCCAGCCTGGTCTGGAACTCATGGCGGTCTTCCTGCCTCAGCCTCTCGAGTTCTGGGATTTCAGACATAAGCTAGAATGCCAGGATCTTCCATGGTGGGGTTTTTTTTTTTTTTTTTTTTGGTATCGGGGATCGAACTCAGGATCTTGTGCTTGCGAGGCAGGCACGGTGCCACTGCATTAAATCCCCGGCCTTCTTCCATGTGTATTTACTTCATACCTTTATTATCGCTCACCTGGGTATTGTGTTGTATTACTCTAACCTAAGTAGGCCTTGGGCTTAGGGTTGAAGTTCAGTCTCTTCGCGGTTCTCCAAGATCTATCTGACCTAACCCTCTTTCCCTGACCCCCATAGATCTTCTGCTCTGTCAGAATTATTTTTTGCTGGACTGTTGGGCTTGAAGACTGAATACTTGGGCTCAAACCTAAATTTCATTTTTACTGTACCAACTGGTTAGGTCTTCTCATCCTTTGCTTTTCTGTAAACTAGAGTATATTTGCCTCTTTTTTTCCCCCACCAGTACTGGGGCTCCAACTCAGGACCTTTCGCTTACCAGGCAGGAGCGGCGCCACTGAGCTACATCCCCGGCCCTTATTTGGCTTTCTGTAAGGATTCTTGTAAGATTCAGAAGAAATGAGTATAGATGTTGAAAGTATTTTATAAACTGGAAGGCTGCCTGTGGGACCCTTCTCAACACCATTTGGAGCCCTGCCAGTCCCAGCTCATCTTCTTCCTCTGCTTTACAGCTAGTTTCGGACCACCCCAACCCTAACCCACAACAATCACAATCTTCTGTGCCAAAGTATTTATGAAACATAGTGTCTGTGCTGTTTATTTTAGGGCGTGTCCACCTGTTACTTTAGTCAGTCGCAGCTTGCCAGATAGACTGTAAGCTCTTAGAGGCGGAGTGGGTTTGGGCTCACAGACCTGTACACATTTTGGGCCCTGAGCGTGTGTTTGCTGAATGATTGTTACTAAACGTGGTGATGTTTTACTTAGTAAGCTATCATATACCCTAACTTCAGAAAGCAAAATGCCTTAACTATGTGAGCCACTTTTGCTAACAATGCTTTGGTGGTACTGGGATTGAACCCAGGACCTTCACACCAAGGCACATCTCTAGCACTTTTGTTTTATTTTGTTTTGTTTCAGACAGGGTCTTGCTAAGTCATTGATTTGCCCAGGCTGGGTTTAAATTTGCCATCCTCCTGCCTCTGCTTCCTCCTCCTAGAGTGCGCTACCATGTTTGACTTAATTTTTTTTTTTAAGGAAAGGCTTTTTGTGTACTGGAGATCAAATGTAGGGCCTTGTACAGGATATTAGGCAAGTGCTCTACTACTGAGCTACACCCACAGCCCATGGGAAAGACTTTTAAGAGTACTGGGTGGTCATTCCAATTAAAATAAATACTGAAAATTCATACAAATCGTAGTTTTACGTGTAAAAGTTGTCTTGAACACCCCCTAGAAAGTATATTAGTGATGATTTAATTTGTTTAAAATTATGGTAAGAGTTTAGAACTTATTTGATATTTTTTAAGAGCTATATCATTGGAGAAATTAGATGCATCTCCAATTTTTTTTTAATCCCTAATTTTTGAAGAGAAGTTAATTCTGAGTATGTTAAGGCTCGAGTCTGTTTTTGTTGGGGGTTTTTTGTTTGTTTCTTTGAGACAGAGTCTCACTATGTAGTCCAGGCTGGCTTGAACTTGTGGTGATCCTCCAGTCTCAGCCTCCCAAATGTTGGGATTACAGGTGTGCACACCATGCCTAGCAGGACTGAAATCTGTTTTGCAAGCAATTCCTCAGTGTCAAAGCCTGATCAGATGTGCCATGTTGGGTTGCTTTTGTACTATGGTAAACTTTGAGCCATGGGTTTGTGAGTTTAGATTGAGTAGAGCTTGGTCTCTTCTGGGAAGATGGACCCTTTTTACTTCGGGTTTCAAGTGATTCTAGCTGAGCTCTTTGGCCTTGGAATGGGGTGCAAAAGATAAGCGTTGCTATGGAAGCTGTGGTGTTTCCCATTTTAATAGATCCTTGAATACGGGAGAGTTCTTGACTGTGTAGGGTTTTGATTGGAGAGCACAGTTTTGCAGAGAGAGATGGAAAGGAGAAGGTACCCCTTAGTCCTTGTTGTTATTTATTTATTTATTTATTTTGGTACTGGGGATTGAACTCAGGTCCTTGCGCTTGTGCAGCAGGCGGTGAAACCACTGAGCTAAATCCCCAGCCAGTCCTTGTTATTTTTGACAACCCTGTGTGTGTATTTGATCTCATTAATATCCCTTGGAGGAGGAATGTTGTTAGTTCTTAGTTTTATTTCCCCAAGTGTGCTATGGTAGTGGTAGGCACCCATTTCCTAGAGAAAGGATCAGATGTAACTAGTAGGAGTATACCTTCAGCTCAGGTTATTGTTCTTAGGGTTTTAATCCCCCCTCCTCCCGCTGCAAAGGCTTTAACTCCCATCTACCTGCTCTGTTAGAGAAGAATTAGTGCTTGAGGCTTTTTTTCTACCCTAATTTTCAAGAAATGACCCTATTAGATTTTCTTTGTATTCTGTGCGCTTGAAAACAAATGTCGTAGTATTCTAATGACAGGATTAACTTTTTGTTAAGGTTGCTGGGTCATAGAGAACTAACCACTTCTTGCAGACATTTGTTTCTGTAAATACTTTTCTTTACAATAGCTGGAACATTTTTCTTTCTGTAAAATGCTATAAAAGTTTATTCCCAGTCCCTCTATCAACTGTTACTAGACTTTTGCTGGTGAACAGAAAGAAGTTTACTTGTAAGTGGTTGTGATAGTTGACAAAGAATTTGACAGTTGTATGCCATCATGGAAGCTGCTTTCTGTACTTGTACACGACTTTTCTTACATTTGTAAATAATTTCAAACTTAGAGAACAGCTGCACAAATAGGACAGAGAACATCTGCATACCCTTCACCTCGATTCATTTGACATTTTTGTGTTCCATTTGCTGTATCATCGAACATTTCCTTTCTTCCCCTCTTTTCCTTTCTCTCCACTTTGTTCTCTGAAAAGCACCTGAAAACGTGCTATTTCCAATACTCCACTTCGTGCCTTCCAAGAATTAAGAAAGGTACGTAAAATTTAATGATTTCTAGACTAGTTTCTTTCATAAGAATTATGCAAATAAATTATTTCTAGGAGGTAGATATTTCCGTAAAACAGATACTATACTGTGATCATGTGGGATTTTTGAAGCTGATAGGACTTTAGGATCTCAGGGTTTTTTTATAACATCTAGGATCTTGTCCCAGCTCCCTTTTTCTTTTTTAAGGTCAGTATCTCCTTTCTCGAAGTTATGCCCTCAGTTTGAAAGCAGGAGCAAATATCCTCTATATTGACAAGTCCCTGCTTTTGTGTTTTCTTACTCTCAAAATAGTATTCCATGTTCTTCCTTCCCTTTGCCCTTTCCACTTGAACTTCCCATTTACTCATTAGCCCATTGTAATCTGCCTTCTACGCTCTGTGCTTCTGAAATTGCCCCCTTACAGGACACCAAGAATGGAATTGCCAAAATTCAGTGTCTTCTCTCTCATCATTCTTCTTGACTTCCTCCTTCCTTAAGGTTCCTCTTAGCTTCTGCTCTTTTCTGATTTTCTCTCTCTCTCCCTCTCTCGCCCTCCCTCTCTCTCCCCCCCGTCTGTCTCTCTCTCTCTCCCTCTGTCTCTCTGTCTCTCTCTCTCTTTCTCTCTCTTTCTTTCCTCAGTCTCCTTCCTACTTTCCCTTATTCATGCAGCAAGTATTTGAACACCTTCTGTAGCCAGGAGCATTCTCGGCACTACGGATTTAGCAGTGGGTGAGACAGATTAAAAGTTAGCTCTCATAGAGAAAGAGATCAGTCATTTTAAAAGTTAATTTTATGGGGCCGGGGATTTAGCTCAGTGGTTTCGCCACTTGCTGTGCAAGCGCAAGGACCCAAGTTCGATCCCTGGTACCAAAAAAAAAAGTTAATTTTATGTTATGGAAAATGCTAAACAAAAATTTAGTAGTATGAACTGACCTGATGGTTCATGCCTGTGGTCAAGTTCTCTGGGAGGTGTAACCAACCAGGTCACAAGTTTAAGCCCCGTCTGGGCAACTGACTTAGTGAGACTGTCTCACCATAAAAAAAGGACGAGATGTAGCTCACTGTGAAGGCCCTGGGTTCAATCCCCAGTACCTCCCCTTCCATCTATGTCTCTCTCTCATTCTCACACTGTTATGGGATGTAATGCCTTATGGGAATATTGAGGAAGGGATATCTCTTGGGTGAGGTTTGGAAGGCTTTACTTAAATAACTGACTTTAAAAATGGATCTTCAGCCTGAGATTTAGCTCAGTGGTTCCGCCGCCTACCTTGGAAGTGCAAGGTCCCGAGTTCGATCCTGGTACCAAAATTAAAGGATCTTAAGGTTTATCTAGATGCTTTTTCCAGAGGGTCCCATGGAACAGTTTCCTAGGCTATTTAAAAACTTATAGGGCTGGGGTTCCCTCCACCCCCATCAGGGCTTGCCTAGCATACAGGAAGCCCTGAATTACATCCCCAGTACCCCCAACATGCGCACGCATACACACACATGATTTTGAAGTGACACAAATTTGGGACATGCTGGACAAACAAGTTTAAACAGTTTATTTAGGACATTTCCAAACCTGTAATATGCTGATATGCAAGAGGACTTGATCTTTTGTCAAGGGGCATCTAGT